GACCACGTTGAAGGCGCAGGGCAGCAACCAAAGATACCTAAGACCGACTCCGAGCCCGCCATGTCTGGGGCTTTACCAGCAGAGGTAGCACCCATGGAGGAGACCCCCGCGGAGAACGAAGTCACAGACGCCAGTGTCGAAACATCATTACCAACAGAAGAGAAGCCTGTAGCCTCAGTTGAACAAGCTGAAGCAACCGAGAACACATCAGCAATCACCCAGGATAACGCCGCTGAACCCACCGACGCTACCGCATCATCAGCTATATCTGCGTCCACCCCGCAACCACCGGCAGCCCGTCTTCGTATGACAGTAACATCTGGCTTCTACGTACGCTCTCTTTGCCATGATCTCGGTCTAGCCTGTAACTCGCTTGGCCTCATGTCGTCTCTCATCCGCTCTCGCCAAGGCGACTACACGCTCGGCCAGAACGTCCTAGAATACACGGATCTGGAAGACCAATCGAAGTGGGAGCCCCAACTTCAGAAGCAGCTCGAAGAGTTCATGGAGAAGGAGGGTTGGCCAATCGAGGAACTGGACGACGACGAAAGCTGGGAGGGGAGGAAGAAGGATCTGATGGAGCAGAGGAAAGACAATGACCGAGAGAAGAGTTACAAGGGCGGTGGTAAGAAGTGGAACTCGAAGGGTAAGGGGAAGTATGGAAGAAATGGGTACTCCAAAAACATGGACGGTGGACGGAAATGAGGGATTGGTACTACTATGACTTGCATTATGATACCCTATGAACCAATAAGAATGACTTTGGTATTTGGCTATGGAGAATTATTCAAAGAATATGTGTATGAACAGGTTGAGTATGCGACCCAGTATCCGACATTAAACGTCCGTCCTCGAATTCCTTCGACTTAGACTCTGTCTTATACTCTGAAAGCCCCTTTGCACCTCCGTCACAGCATCATCCGCGCCCTGCAGTCCCTCTGCTTCATCTTTCCGATCCTCATGGTTGATGAACAAGAAGGAGAGCACCATGATCGCTGCGCCAACCCAATACAACGCCGATGCATACTGCGAGTCCAACAGCATCTGACCAACCAGACTGCAGGGAATGGTCAGACTAAGACCAACGGTGACAATCAGCGGGGAAGTAAGCAGCATAGCATACGCCCAGCAGAAGTCGGAGACGAGAGATGATGCGCTGTTGATGAGCACGATGTTGAGGATGCGCGACGTGGGCGGGAGCTCAAAGGGTTCTATGCCGGTAAGATGTAGGATGATGAAACCAGGCCAGAGGAGCAGGATGTTGGACAGCCCAACGAGACCGAAGAAGAGAGGCATGTTGACCTTTGTCTCATCGCCAATCCGGGATTTCATGAAAACAGTGTAGAAACCGTATAGTACAGCCGACACAAAGGCCATGACGTCGCCAATGGCTAGTTCTTTTGGTGTCTTGTGTGGAAAGGAACCGCGGTTCTCGTCTGTCTCGCCGGATACGTCGACCATGGAGATGAGGGCTACACCGCCGAGAGACGCGAGTACGCCGAGGAATTTGAGCAGCGTAAAGCGCTCGACGCGCATTATGGAACCCAGAAGTAGGGTCCAGATAGAGGACGTGGAAGACAGGATAGTAGAACTGGCGACGGTTGTGTACTCTAGACAGGCGGCCGCAAAGTAGTTTGCCAGGAACCAAAGGAGACAGAACTCCAGCGCCAGCTTCGCTGTATCTCTTATCGTCAAGCCATCGTCCTCGTCCTGACCTCCAGTTTTCCCGGTTGCGAAACTTTGGGAGCCGTGCAGCGAGGATGATAGCAGGACTTCGGTTGCCTCGTCATTGCGCGCTTTGTTCGAGGCTGAGGTCGGAGAGGGGGTCTCGTGTTCGCGGAGGAGCTTCCATTTCCCTGCTCGCCGTTGCAAGAGGTCGCGTGCGTGTGCTAGGAGAGGTTGGCGGTGCTGCCGCGCGCTGTTGGGACGGTGACGGTCGACCCATAGGTGGTGTAGGAACATGGGTAGGAGAGGGATGACGAAGAATGTTGTGTTTACGTAGGTTACGAGGTAGGGTTTCGAGTAGGAGTCGTCTGCGAATATTGTCTGTTGGCTTGTCAGCTATGCGCTTACCACTACCCGTGCCATCCCAGGGGATGCGAGACACGTACACTCGCGAGGAAATTACTAGCTGTCCACAGTAGCACCGTCGCAAGTAGGAGAGCTATTCCTACTGCATGTCGCACTTTGCTTGTCCACAGTCCCTTCTTCTGTCCCTCAGCCCACTGGCTGGCCTCGCTCGCTGGGCTCTCGAGATAGTCTTCCCCGCGCAAGTATGCGCTCTCGTCGGAGACGTCGCTAACGCGTGGACTGAGCGGCGTCGTCTCAACATCTTCTTCCCTCCGAGGTATCATGTTGGCAGGGTGTAATAGAAATTATTGTAGGTGTATAGGACAGGTCCGTCAAGGAGGGTCTTCGGTGATAAGCGGGCTCACGGTCGGGGTACGTGTCGAGGCATGGAAGAATATGCGAGCGCCCATGAAATCAGTCGTTTGTCAAAGGCAGAGAAATATGCAAGTGATGGACTCGTGGCACGGGGTGGTTCGGCGTAACACGCGGACACTTGATAAGAGGGTGCTAAGTCCCGGGGGTTGCGAGTTTCATGTGTCCTCGTGTCTCAAAGAGGCCCGTTGACGGAATTGTGGCGGTGCCGCCTTAGCCACGGACCCACGTCATCACGGATACGCGGGCGGAAGGCACGCGTCTGATAGCACTCCAGGTAAAAGTACTGTTCATGTATGTATTCATATATTCTTAGGCCGCTATATCGACTAGGTGACAATGACCCCATCCGTGATGATAGATTACAGGAGTAAGAGATCCTCCTGCTCAACAAGCATGTTCAACACCAAACTCCATGCGAACTCCAGATGCAAGACGGCATTGCGGCAGATGAGGTTCCACTGTCGGTTCTCATAAACGTCGCTTATTTCGTGATGGCATACACTAGCATGCGCAACCGCCTTCGCTGCCCTTGAGGTCGATCGGGATTGTCTCGGGGAAGTCGTTGCTGAAGTCACCCACGTCCTCCTGTGCTAGAGCTTGTCGTGCGATAACTACGGGTGTCAGCTTCCGAAAGCGGGATTCGGATGGCTCTAGGTCTGGCTTACCTTCAAAAGCTTGCTCGACGTTGATGGCCTCCTTAGCACTGGTCTCGAAGTACGGGATACCGCCCTTTGATTGGCAAAATGTCATGGCGCGCTTGGACGAGATCTGGCGCTGTTAGCATGAAGCCTTGAACGGTCGCTACAGAGACTCACCATCCTTTTGCTCTCCTCCACATCGATCTTGTTGCCAATAACAACCTGTCCGCGTCAGTACAGATGCACAGCCAATCTACCCGTATGCACCTACAAATGGGAAGCTCTCAGGATCCATCGGGCTGGCCTGAACCAAGAATTCGTCCCTCCAGCTATCCAGGGTATCGAAACTCTTCGAGTTGTTCACGTCGTATACGAGCACGCAGCAGTCGGCACCGCGGTAGAAGGCAACACCGAGCGATTGGAAGCGCTCTTGACCGGCAGTGTCCCAGAGCTATCGTACGTCAGTAAGATCAAAGCGCGCAGATTCACATGTACACACCTGCATGGTAACCAGCCTGTCGTCGACCAGTACTTCCTTGGTCAGGAAATCGGCACCGATTGTGGCTTTGTAGCTTGCGCTGAACTTCTTGTTGACCTGTAGAGACCGTATAAGCCAGTTTTCATAGTCTCCAGCTATCACTCGTGTCGTGTATAGCTCTACGAGGGGTTCTCCGTACATATTGGTTCATCAAGCTCGTCTTGCCGACCCCGCTGTCTCCGAGGATAATGACCTGCGCGCATTAGTCGTGAAGGGCAGGCCCTGTCTGGAGCTGAAATACCTTAAGGAGGACCTTCTTCCTTGATGCCATCTTGTAGAGAGTGTGTGTAGGTAGGGAGACGAGGTACGGCGCGGTCGATTCGAGGCGCGAAGCTAGATGCTTCGAGGTGGTGCGGAGTTGGCTGCGCGGATACTAGGCCGAGGTAGAGGGTATGCGACGCCAATATCTAGGTCTCCAGGACGTTGGCCGAGTGAAGAAATCAATGCACTGCGTTTATGGCGCAGATACGGTGAGGATAGGTGCAGCTTCGTTACCAGAGATCGATGATGGTTGATGTCAAGCTGGGCACGGACATAGCGCTAGCCGCCCGTCCCATGGTCTGAGGTGGCTCAACCCACGCGCCCACCTGACACCGCATTCACATAGACCGTCTACCCCCACCGCTAATCCACGACTGTCCCTGAGGGAGAGCTTTATCCAGATATCAAGTTATCAAAGTCGCCGGTGTCATCGCCAATCTCCAACCTAGCGCGACCGTGAACCTGACCGATACACCCAGGGCTACCAATAGATCGCCTAAGCGGTAAAGTTTAAGGCTGCCAGTACGGTCCTGCTTACACGTCGCTCGTAGAACTAGCTTTCCAATGTCAAAATTCTGATCTAGGTGCGATTCTTGAACACTCCACCTGCAGTCACCATGTGGACGACGCTTGCATCAGATTCGGATTGCACCAAATGGACATCACGTTCTACTCCTGCCCTAGAGATAAGCAATAACGTACTTGAAAGCTCTTGATATGGTAAAACAGCCCATTCTGACATGGAAGAACAGCTTATTAAGTATGGAGGCGAAAGAATTCTGGATGTAGTGCTCCTCGAGTATAGCATGAATAATTTGCTTTAGCAGACTCCGTATGTTTGGTCTCTGATAGCAAACTTTTACAGTCAAACTATCAGCAATACACTAATGTTCCATTGTCGGTTTCTGATCGAGTGAACTGGAAGAGTCCCGATTAGGCCAGTGAATGCAAACACGTCTTGGCAGAGCGTCGATTTCACTATAACTGTAGTTTCGATAGTGGGTTCTTTCTTCGCCCCAGCCAATACCACTGATCCTTTCCGCATCAATATAGAGCGTCACAGCTCCAGAGATCAATCCTTTGCCATGACGAACGCGGATCCTCTTCACTTGCATTTCATGGCGCTCACTGATATTGGAGGCACTTTGTCCGAGCAGGAGCGTATACAACTGATCAGTAGGTCACTAATCGCCCCAAGCGCTCGTTGTCGATAAGAGAAAACTAACATGAGTATCTAGATACGCTGGTGTTTCTGGTTCGTACCGAGTATCCTTCCGTCACCAGTGTTCGCGACGTCAACCTGGTCACTATCTAAATATCATCCGACAGATATCGCATCGACGTAACATCCCGCAAAGGAACGATCATCTTCGGGTGGGACGTGAAAACGCGCCTGGAGGTGCTCGAAGGTCTCCGTGACGCGATAGAGAAGCGAGCAGGGCAAGTCATCTTGAATACAAGCGGACCACGGAACGGACGTGTGTTAGCAAAAGAGCAGCAAAAGTTCCACAAACAAGACTTCAATACGTCATATGACCAGAAGCATGAGCCTGACAACGTCCTTACAAAGAAGGCCGAGGGCGATTTTGCAAGTGGAGGCGCCATGATCGCAAAGGGCAACAACAGTCATCAGACCCGTATGCCTATTCACGCCGGCTTGAAGAGAAAGGCGCAAGAGCAGAACGAGTGCGCAAGGAAGAAATCCAAAGGAAATGACCATATTATGCATGACGAAATACTTGGCGAATCAGAAGAGGGAAGGATGTTAGACCATAATGGACATGAGGAAGCGATGGACAGCCACATTGAAGGTGAGCCGGAAGACATGGAAGAAGAAGATTCGCCTCCATCTATCAGTGCTGTGCTTGCGAAATACGCAGCTGGCGAGCCAAAGCGTCGAAAGTGGAGGGGTCGCACGGCTGACACGCCAATGAGGCACGATCTGGATGGCGTTGCTGAAGGGAACGTGTCCGACGACGAGCAGGTTATCATTGGAGAGGACAGTGACTTCTGGCGCGAACGGTAGATACCGCGTAGTTAGCATGCTGAGGGCCATGCGAGTGAAGGATGTCTGGCAGTGGTGTTGGGTAGTACCTGCCCAGGTAGCGGGAGTGCGAAGTCCGGCGCTAGCACCCTAGCAGTCGCGATCATTCTGCGCGCATGTCCTTCGCTTCCTCACTCGTGTCAATGAAATCCTATGCACAGCGTTGACGATTAACTCCATTCTACATGAAATTTCGCTGATGATCGATCTTAATGGGTCCTGATGGTTTCCTCATCTTAAGACGTACACCATGGTCTCTTCGCAGCTTCCCCGTGCGGGGATCCGTACGATAGCCACGGTCCTGGTTGACGACCAGCCGCAACGCAATTGTATATGACAGCGCATCGGGGTTGAAACTAATTTCCGTCTTTTTACCTCTCATTTCTCCTATCACGCACACATTGTTACTTGGAAGATGTCGCAAACTACTACTACCGGAACCGAGACGATGCGCCTGCCAGCAACGATGAGAGCATGGCAATGGTCAACATGCGGTACCACGCTCGAGGAGGCAATACAGCTCAATGAGTCAGTACCGCTGCCGACAGCGAAGCGGCCACTCGCAAGTGGAGAATCTCTAATTCAGGTTCACGCTGCTGCTCTGAACCAGGTCGACTACAAGCTTGCAGAACTACCCATCGTTGGGCGAATGGCCATCCCTAAGCCAGCAACCCCCGGACTTGATTTCGCTGGAAGAGTCGCTGAAGTGGGACCGGATTGCGACCTCACGGTCGGGCAAATGGTGTTTGGCAAGCTCGAGCCGAAGCAACAGTTTGGCACGTTGGGAGAATTCATCATCGGTTCAAAAGCGGGAACGGTGCCAATGCCCGATGGTATCTCAGCGGAGCAAGCAGCAACGCTGGGAGTCTGCGGTCTTGTTACATATCAGTGCCTCGCACCGAATGTAAAAGCCGGTGACAGAGTACTAATCAACGGTGGTTCAGGTGGTACGGGTACTTTTGCCATTCAGATCGCAAAAGCTCTGGGATGCTATGTCACAACGACCTGCTCCGGTAAGCGTCCAACAGTCGCGACAATGATGCATTTTCTGATCCCTCACAGCCGCAAATGTTCAGCTTTGCAAGGATCTTGGGGCCGACGAAGTCATCGATTATCGCCAGAACGATGTACCTACCATTCTGGCAAGCAGCTCAAACCACTATGACATGGTTCTCGACAACATTGGACATCAGTTTGAGCTATACTGGAAATCACCCTCCTTCACAAAACCTGCAGCGAAATACGTCCAGGTCGGATCTCAAGTGAGCCTACCCTTTATCTACGATCTCGCATTCCGCTTCCTGGTACCGACGTGGCTTGGAGGTGGGCAACGGCGATTCTCCTTCGGTCTTGCTTCTACGAACTTCGAAGACTTCACGAAGTTGGGTAAACTTGTTGCGGACGGGAAAGTGAAACCTGTCGTGAGTGAGGTGTATGCTTTCGAGCATGTACCCAAAGCTTATGAGAAGCTCAGAACAGGTAGAGCGAAGGGAAAGCTGGTAGTCAAAGTGGGAGCGAATTGAACGATTGGCTGAAGTGAAAGTAAAGCGTGCCACCCTCCAAATCCGAAGCAAGGCCGGCCAGCCTGTTAGAACTTGTCGTTCGATGACCGCAGTTGCATTCGCGCCTGGTCCCGAATTGCTCGTTGCGTGGGATTTGATCAGCCTCAGTTCGCAGAACATCCTAACATGGGATTAGTGCGCGAAAATGATAATATAGAGAAAAAAACGATCATCGTTGCTATTCGTTCAGGTTGCGTGGACGCGCTCGTGGCGCCGCTAAGGCTGGTTTCAGGCAACGAGGAGGCTGTGTTGAACGCCGATCTGCACTCAGCTGTGTGTACCAATACGAGCATACATTCCATCAGGTTCCGAATGAATCGATTCCAATACTCAGAAATACCTTTTGAAACTCTCGAGAGAATGCGACCCCGCAATTATTTAACAAGAGGAAACTTACCATCGCGTATCTCACGACGAGGTTCTGACACGCCTGTAGTACCAAAAACTTCTAATCCGGGAGCAATATGAACGCGTCGTTCTCTATTAGGGAAGGCAAAAGAAGACAGGAAGCTAGCCCGGAAGACGACGTTGAAGGAAGGAAACGACTCAAACCAATCATCGACCTGACATCACCACTGTGTGCGGGATGCCAAATGCTTGACATCGACAACGTTTTCGAAGCGGCCCTCAAGTACTATAAACGCAGAGTGGACGATCCAGACAAGAAGTCGAAGCTCTACGAAGCTTCCGATGGAAGGCACTTCTACGCTGATGCAGTTTCGGTGCATCGGTTTGGTACGAGGCTGTCCAAGCCATCAGATTGTCCCTTGTGCGACTTCCTTCGATCTGTCAGAGTCGAGCCAGATGTACATGAACGCTACAAACTACTTGCGTTCCGTAGCAGCGATGCTTGGCTCTTCAATGCAGATCGGGTGAGAGACGCGTTTAAAGAACCCGACTTCCTCGAGGAACGCCACGAAACAGTGTTCATGGCAGTCGTGCCAGATATAGAGTCGATCCCAACAACCGGGCACGATGCCACATGGCTAGACTACGAGATTCCGGCTGTGGGGGCCATCTTTTACAAGCCGGCTGACAAGCCCAGCGACTTTCTCAGCCAGAACCTGCTGGGAGCAAGAGAGCTCAACGGTTCATTCGATCTTGAGCGGTTACGGGGTTGGCTGGACTACTGTCGCAGCGGACACGGTGTCGCTTGCAAACAACGCGCATCAGAAGAACCGGTAACCAGAGGCTTTCGTCTGATCAACTGTACCAAGGATCCTCCCGAGGTTGAAGACAAGCCGTGGGGAACTCCGTACGCTGCCTTAAGCTATGTTTGGGGATCTACACCCGCCGATCTGGAAGACTGGCCGGCAACTGTCATGGACGCAGTCGAGGTCACACGCAAGCTCGACTTTACCTATCTGTGGGTGGATCGGAGCTGTATCAACCAGGCGGATCCAGAAGAGAAAGGCTACCTGATTTCGAGGATGACCACAATATATGAAGCAGCTGAGTTCACCATCGTAGCAGCTGCAGGAAGTGGTGCTAGCCATGGTCTGCCTGGAGTACGGAACACACCTCGCAAGCCACAGCCAAAGTACTACGCTAATAGCGGAAGCCTGCTTCTTTCTATGCTCCCGGATCCGCGGCGAGAAATACTCCAATCGCAATATTGGACCCGCGGGTGGACATACCAAGAAGGAGTTCTCTCTAACCGCCGCATCGTCTTCACAGAACACCAGTTCTACTGGGAATGTCGATGTATGGCTTCGAATGAAAGCGCGGATGTGTCGCTGTTCCACCAACCCATAAGCCATGAGAACGATCCCAATACCATTCTGGTAGACTTCATGTTGAGCGGCATATTCAAAGGCGGCGCATTCAGCGGAGGCAGTAGTGCGCACCAAGGAGACTTGGTCATTGCTAATGACGAGGAGTATCGGCTGGACTATGGCTTTCCTATAGTCGAGGAGATAACCGTTGGAGCGCAATTGCGAGGGCTGTGCGAACATATGCGTGAGTTTACGAAACGACGCTTGACACAAGCTACAGATACCCTGCCAGCCTGTAAGTAGTCTGCCTTGGAGAACTGCCGGTGTTACCAATACTAAATTCTGCGCCATCTCTAGTCCAGGGTATCGTTGGAATGTACGAACAAACCACATCGCTGCATATGTTCCACGGAATACCTTTGTGGACGGGCGAAATCGCTGGAAGCGCTGCCCCCGCTCAGATTACATTCGCCTTGGCTATATCGTCATGGTTTCATCGTGCGGGCTCGCATCAGGCGATGTTTATCTCTGAAGCATGTATGCGACGTGATCATTTACCTTCGTGGACCTGGTAAGAGAGCCATTGCGCGAGCTGCGTGTAAGACATAGACTGACTTCGTATCTTTAACTCTAGGGCTGGCTGGGGCGGTACAGTCAGTTGGCGGCTACCTCCCAATACTGAATATTGCGCTTATCTGAGTGATCTGATCAATGCCACAAGCCCAAGTCTCGTATGGGGTGCGAATATGTATCTTTCTCATCCTGGACATCCAGAGGTAGTACGGCTGTTAGACCAAAACTCAGCGCTTCGTCTGGCCAACGGCACGTTTTCCACACTGGAGATAAAGAATCCGTTTCTCTTGAGCAAGTTCCAACCGGTCAAGGAAGTAAATCGAGAATGGTCTTGGGGCAGACTGGTTGGGAGGATTGGTCGCGAACGGTATATGTCTCACCGTGTTGACAAAGCCACAGACTGGTGGAGGATAGGTGGTCGCCTGGCTTTCACCAGCATGTCAATCGACATAACCCAGCAAGAGTGGACTGCCAAACACGGCTCTGGCGAGTTCATAAGTGTTTTGATCTTCGTGGGGAGATTCCTCGATGTTGAGCACGGGTAAGTGTATCCGTACGAACTGTATATGGGACATACACTGACGTCGTACACCTTGATGTAGCGCGGCACGATTTTTGACATTGCGAAAGGTACCTCATTCGAATCCTGTTGTGTGGGAGCGAGTCGGCATGCTTTCTTTGGTGCTTGGCTACATAGGCAAGACCCGGAGCGTTTCGGGTCTTTTTTACCTGACGCCAGCTCATGCTCGGAGTGGTTCTATAGTGATCCAATGAAGTAGCGACTGTCGCGATTAGATGTCAAATACAATTGTCCAACTGTAGGAGTTGCCGTGAATGCCCTGGGGCGTGTGCGTTTAGGAAATACGGCTAGCGATGGGAAGATTGATGCTGCGATCCCAAAAGAGTGTACGCTTTGTGCTCTGTAGAAACTCAATGTGCATACGGTTCGTTGAGGATATACTTCCAGGGTGGTGATAGCTTGGAACAAAGTTCGTGATGTACATCATGCGTGTAGCCGCACCCCACATATACCTCGGCAACAGCATCCATGAGCCGACGTCTTCATGCGCCTATTCCGTACTTGACCCTGAACGGCAGAGGCGAAAATTGAAAGAAGAGACGCGATCCTCAA